GTGCATACACATGTACATGTATATCATTTACTGTGCTGCAGCCAATTTCTCTTTGTGGAGATCAAACAATTATTTGTTATCTTGTCTTATCTTACATTTCGTATCATACCGTGACGGGAAAAGAGCGGGGTTGTGGGTGTGTGGTTGGGGGGGGGGGTAATCAGAGACCATTAGGTCAGGCCTAGGGTCTTTCTTATACTCAGCACCATTGTATATCAGAATAGTCACAATGTGGGTCTCTATACGTCAACCAAATTGTCAGTTAATGACTTCCTATCGTCGAGTGGCGTCGGTAGCCTAGTGGTTAGGATACCGGACTCGTAATCGTGAGATTGCGGGTTCAGGAGTTCGAGCCTCAACTCGATCCAACGTTGTGTCCTTAGAAAAAGCACTTTACACAAATTCCCTGTTTGGTTCGGTCCTTACAAAGATGGACGTTAAACTCGGAGGCCCCGCCTCTTAAATAGCCTGCTAGTGTTGATAGGGGTGTTAAACATATCATTTCACCATTTCTATCGTCGATTAATGAAAAGAATGAAATTTTAGGTTTATCGCCCCTTGCAACACAGTAAGGTTATCTTAAGCGGCTCGACCACAGAATTCTACACTTAACTGGCCGCCATGTTTTAGTTTCAATTCCTCACAGCGAATCGGCGATCGCGAAGAGGGAGTTCCGCTTCTATAAGTGTAGAATTCTGTGGGCTCGACCTAAGAACTAGTGCTGGGCGGCGAGGTTCCCGGTTATTGGAAGTTTGGAATCGCAGGAATCGACTCCGAACCCAATTACTTACTTTCCAATGATGGGATTTCTTCCTGTGGTTACCTGGTAGCTCCAAACATCTTCAGGATTTAGGATAACCTTGATTTCGGAACACTACGAAGCATCAATTTATATTTTTCCAAAATAAATTCTAAAAATAAAAAAAGATTTTACTGATCAAAGTAACCGGCAAGGGCTTGTTTACGTAAAAAAGAGTCGGACCTTTTCTTTCGTAGCATTAGTCTTGGGAATCGGTTCACGACTAGATTCTTCGCCCAGCTCTACGAAGAACTAAGAATGATTTTCTCGCTCATCTTCGAAGGGAGTGGGCTAGATGGGAAAATTCGTGCAAGGTGTCTTTCCCAAAAACACAACATTGGACCGAGCTAAGACTCGAACCTCCCAACCTACAATCTCGTTACAACGGGTACGGTAGTCTGACCACTAGGCTAGCGACGCCACCTATTCAACCAAAAGAGATAAAGAAAACAATTTTTTGAAGTCTACTGGTAGGCTGTGTTTAGACAGATCCCCTACACCACCGTTATTTTCTTTATCATCTACATCTCACAATACCGTAGGCCTACCTAGATTTTCATTGTACGCACCAGCCCCCATACCCTTCCTTCCCCGAGTTCTCTTTTCCATTCTCGCCTCACAACCTTTTCTTCTCTCTCTCTCTCTCTCTCTCTCTCTCTCTCTCTCTCTCTCT